ACCAAACTCAAACAATGGTCATGGAGACTGCCGCTGGTTTTCATGTTTCCCGGAGGAATCCTCTGTGGGGTTGTGGGGATTTTTGCTTTGTTTTCTCTTCTCTTCTTAAAAAAATGCTGAAATGATAAAATGGGAAGAAGGGGAAGAAGAAGTAATACTAATAGTTATCGTTAGTTATAGATATAACAGTAGTGGTTTGTCATTCAAACACACTGTGAGTTAATCCTCGAGGCAAAAAATGCTTGGCAGCTTGGCAGCATCTTGGACATGCCTGGCATTATACTCAGCAGACAATCAACTGCAAGGGTTGGCCTGCAACAATCAGGAGCACACTAGCCAAAAAGACAGGCGTTCTCACAACAACATGGAAAAGTGTTGTGTACTTTGGAAGTAGAGTGGAAAAACATTTCCAGGGGTGGTTCTGATGCACAGTGGGGGTTTATAGAGGACAATGTTATACATTTCTGCCCTCCAAAAATGGTTGCCAGCCCGAGTGGTTCTGATCTAGCCTTTAGCCTCCTTCACTAAATGAACCCAGCCAGTCAGAGGCGTTTTGAGCAGATGGTTACATGGTTTGGATTGCATAATGATGGGCAGTGAGCCTGGATGTATCGCAGTTGTCCTCCCTATGGGGTTTAATCTAACTCTGCTTTTGCTCTTGGTTAACCTGCCTTCAAAGATATTGCATTCAGTCCATTTTGATGTGTTTTCCAGTGGAGAGTAGGCTGGGTCGAGGTTTAGGAATATGCAACTAGGCTGGTGGTGGTGAACTTCCTGACCTCATTCTTGTCCACTGAAATACTAAGCAAAAGGTCAAGGGCCACTGCTAAACTGGGTAGACTGGGGGGAGCCGTGCAGAGGAAGGTACCTATCCTGCCCTCCCCACCCACAGTCAATCAATAGTTTATTGGATTCGCAGTTGGGAAGTTTGCTTCCACCAGCCCAAGTCCACGTGCCTATATTCACACAGATACTTTATTCTAAAGTTTCCTGGTTTTCCCTAGAATAGCAGAGCAAAAGGGTCAACCCTTGGGTCAAGATAACACAGATACTGCATCTCTCCCTACAAATACAGTAACATCTTTTGAGTATGAACTCCTAATTCATCCCAGACAGGGGCACATAGACATTCACAAAAATCAGCTCCCAGATCAGCTTATGTGAAGTGGGCCAACAAAGACATTTCAAGCTGCAGATGGTAATTAATGGAGGGTGTTGGTTGCAGGGGCATCCAGAGGGTGTAGTTAAAAAGTCAGCTGGGCAGCCATAATGATGCAATCAAAGCTCCACCTGTTGTTTTTAATGTGTGACGCGCATTAAAAAAAGGGTGGACCTTCAATCACACCATTATGGCCACCATCTTGACTCTTTTGTTAACCATACCCTGCGGACACGGTGTGTTTGAGCTTTTAGCACTGGGCATGCTTAAGCAGAAGTAGGTTTGATTTTGTTCAGCACAATTGTCTTGTGGATCAGGGATATATAAAGATGGTAAACCAAAAGATTTGATGAAAATAACGTTCTCCATAATCCTTACCGCCTTCACTGTCACCACTGGCAGAAGAGAGGGAAGTGTGTGTGTGTGCGTGTAGATGCAAGTAGGGGACTGATATTATGAAAAGTGCATGAAGAGAGGCTAAGAACACATTCCATCCAGACCAGAGGTAAAGAAAAAATAATAATAAAAACCTGATTTTCTGTTGTTGTTGTTATTATTAATGTTTTCAAGGTGGGAACATGTATTACAGAAGACAATGTATATGCTCTATCGGTAGGATCTTGAATTAAAATGACAACCCATTGAAATATAGTTAAGTCCCATTAATTTCAGTTTCAAGTAAGTTCAGTTAATGTAATCCACTGAATTTTTGGTATCTCTGACTTACCACGATCTTCAGTTATTACTCATCCTCTTTGTGGAAAGCGCTTTGATCCAGGAAATGGCATGGATAATATCAACGTATGTGGGATTAATATCCATTATGTGTGTATATTAGTCATAAAGCTGGAAGAAAGTGGAAAATTGTGCTCTGGGATAGAAGGTTGTTAAAAAGAAGCCAAGTGTTACAAGCCAAAAAGATGTTTAAAAGCCCATCCTACTTTATGGGTGGGATGGTTTTAAATGCATTTTTTTCTTTGTCCAGGCACCCAATGAAAACGTCATTATTTCTTTGGGTTGCATGGGTATACTCAATGAAATGAACAGATCCACTTCATCATGTCTTGCCATGTCCTTCTGTTTGCAAACTTTTTCCATGCAAAGAAGTTATTAACTTGAATGAAATGCATAAGACTTAAGGGAGACATGAAATCACCATTGAAAGGCCAATTAATTGAATCTGCAATATAATTTAAAAATCCAGCTCTGAACGTACACGTCAGTAGCAACTATGATGGTCAGTAAGGTGCAGTCATATTCAGCGATGAATGCTGCATTTCCCAAGGGTTACAATATAGATGATGGACTCAATTCTGCTGCATAGTGTAGTGCATCATGGTTAATCTACCATCTTTTTACAACCACTGTGATTATCGAAGTTACGTGGTAAGAGCCAATGTTCATTCTTAAGAATTGAGTCGAAGGCCCAATTTTTGATAAAACAGGGGGATTACAAGTGTGGCACAGGGGAAGGAAGGATTGAATAATCTTTTCCTGTGGGCCAATCCCCTTCTTAAGTCCCGCTTCCAAAATATAGCCAGAGAGCAGATATGATTGACTTGAGAGTTCAAAAAAGCCAAGCACTTATCTCTCTTCTTCTGCTTTAGAGTCTCTATTCAGACAGCCCATCATGGCTAGCTTTTTTAAGATAAAAAAGCACCCCAATTATGAGAGATACAGCTCTCAACATGCAACTTTAGAAGAGCATAAAACATAGAAAAGTTAGCAAATGCTCCTGAGTTAAAATTTTGACTGAAATTACCTCTCTTATTTTCTTGGCCCCTCTCTCCTTTTCACCAAAATTATTGAAAATTATAGAGGCTACTTTCTGTTAAACTGCTAGGCATTGTAATATATTTTCTACGCAAGGCTATGGAAATAACCTTGTTTCTCTTCATTAAAACAGACGAACCAAACTCCTGGAGTTCTCCCGCTGCCACCTCCCCAGGTCTGTCGGAAGTAACCATTTCCCCTGATGACATTGTCTCGCCATTATCTTCATCACATCTAGCCCAATCTTCTGACCCTTCCCGCCAGATAAACCCAGAATCAGCTTGGGATATCAAGAGGGAACATCATGTAAAAAAACCAAAGGAGCTTTCAGTAAATGGCCATAAAAAGAAAAGGTTAGGTGAACAGACAGAGAGATCTGCAAGTCCTAAGAAGGTAGACAGGTCAAAGCCTGAAGCGGTTTTGAGGAAAGCAAGCTCAGAAGGCAAGAGTAAGACCAGTGAAAGTGGCAGGTCACTGCCGGAAATTAAGGCAGCGGGACTGAACACGATGGCTGAGGCTGGCGTCAGAGAACATGGATGTGCTGGAACCAATGATGAATGGGTTGGGAGATCCAAGTGGCTGGGAAGCAAAAGAGGGGGATCCCTTGGAACAAAGGATCATTATGTCCCGGTTGCTGCAGAGAAGAAATCGGCTGCAGCTTCCGAACACGTCAAGCTGGATTCCACTGGTGCTACCAAGACGTACAGTAGCAATAGCTGCAGCTCTCACGGAAGTGACATGGATCATAACCAGAAAGAATCCGACAGGAAGCCCAGTGAATTCTCACGGAAGGGACATGTCCATTCCATTTCAACACACAATACCAACCCTACAGCTCGGAAGGCAACTGTCTCACCAGGACCATGGAAGATTCCTGGTTCTGATAAGCTACCTGGTGTTCTAAAATCTAGCACTTCTGCAATGAGCAGATAAGTCAACTGTTACCGTTGCCTTCTCATTGTTTCACAGTGATGCAGAACATCCTTCTTATTTCTGTCTCACATTGTTTTAATTTATTTTAACTCATATACATACATGCTCAAAATACAGAGAAATGAAAACAGTAATGTGTAATTCTATGACAACATGCATAATGTCTTAATAAGTTAATGGAAGATATAGTCACTCTTGTATCTAAATGTGACCTTAATGTACCCAGTTTCATTTCAGAGACTTTGGCAGCTATGGAAGAAACCAAAATAATATGAAGGACAGTTGACCCACAAAGACAGTGCAGTGTAGCTTTAGTTTGATGTTTTCCACTGCATGAAGGACTTGGGATTTTCATTCAGACTTTATATCAAGAAACTGGAAGAAGTTAGAGCAATCATAAACTGGAACATCGCCTTAAATAAAACTGCACGGAGAAAGTTAAAAGTGGAAATAGAATATTTTATCTGAATTAAATGTTGTAAATAAATAGTTCTCAACATATCTAGACAGGGGTTTGAACCATTTGAAATTGTAAATCCATGGTATGTCTCTACTGTTAACACTTTGGAAAAAAAACTGCCCAATATTAGTAGCATAATTCATTATGCAGGGTGAGGAACCCTAGTGGATTAGCTGAAGCAGAATCATTTCTACTTCCATTCTGTGAACAATCCATCTTTCTGTACATTGAGAAAAGAGGGTGGAACTGTATTCAGAAATCTAGCCTCAAAAGCATCTTATGGATTTCTCCCCACACACGCATGCATACAGGCACACCTATAGATTGGGATTCCCAAATATCACATAGGTTTCACGTGGGTAATTGTAACATACAATTGCTGGATCACTATAATGAGACAGTGATTCTTGAAAGATTAAAAGCTGAAGTTTCCTATCAGAACAGCCTTGGTCTCCTGCAGGAACTCATAATCGTCTAAATACTAATTCAGCTTGTTTTTAAAATGACCATCTTTGAATTTTATTCTTCATTGCACTCTAGAAAGTCTAAAATAGTTGTCCAGAACAGTCCTATTTTATTATATAAACCCACCAGGCAACTACGTGTTTCTTCCTTCCATATTCTATGTCTCTCTTGCTTTTAAATTTCACGTCTTCAGTGCCATGATAACATTTCATTTGCACACCGATGAAGTGTGGCTTCTTCAATGAGCTCCATGAATCAACTCTTATTTCTGAGAGGTTTGCTATTTTTTTTTAAGCAACAGCAATAGGAACAAGAGTAGCAGCACTCAGTAATAATGTTTTGTTTTGTTTTTTAGGAAAATTATTATTTAACTTGAAAACATTTCTCTGGCAAACCCTCATATTGCTCAGAAGTAACACTGTTTGGTGAGCAGAATCCAGTTACTTTTAAGATCAGTGGAAGTTTTGATTTGGAGAGGGGTATGAAAAAGTGATGGAATATTAGCCAAACAGCAGATCACCATCTTGTTAGTCCCATTCAACCAACAATCAGAGTTACCCGTGTTTCATTTGTTTTCTTTAGGAGCTACGGAGCTATCTTTCTACTAAATTAGAATGAAAAGAAGAAAGGATTTTGCACCTTTGAAAAGAAAATGCATATTTAAGATCTAGTCCCATTATAGTTTTTTTAAGAAAGCACAAAGATATGTAGCTGTTTACAAAATAGAATATCTATCTGTCTATATATATTAATTAAAAAAATAGAGATATATCTTTATTCCCAGCCTAGACATTTGGCATAATTTGCTGTTAATTTATTAAATATGAAATGTGGACAGGACTTCTCTAATTAGTAGGGAAGGCCATGTCCTGCTATCTCACTTCCTTCATATAATGAACAGGAACAAACAGCAAAGGGGAAAAAACTGAGATTCTGTTTGCATAAACTCCAGTTTGCACACTGTCCAGCCCTCCTTTGTGCAGATCACTGCTTTATGCGGCTGTAATTGATAACCTGTGAAGACATCATTTAAACCCCATTCCAAATAATATTTCTGTGTAGTGTTAGCTGTGAATTTACCTTGTACAGCTCTATTGCTATAAATATAATTCCATGTATTAATAGTCACAGAAAAGCTGTAAGTGAGCAACTATTTTTATGAAACACACCACTATGGATAAATTAACTTTTACAGAAATCTTGTTTACTGTATGATATTCTAAACCACTCAAATAAAATATATATCCAAGAATCTTTTTTTTTCCCAACTGTTTATACTGTGCAATTCATTATGGGAGGGAGGAAGAAACTAAAGGTCTAAGAAGCTAAAAGCTCTGGAGCTCAATCAAATTTCACTTCAATGTTCAATTCCCATAACTAGAATACCAGAGTGCTCTCCTGGAAACAGGAATGAGAAGCCTTTTATCTGGGGAAGCAAGATATACTGGCCACGCTGAGTGGGCACTGTTCATTTTCTCTTCCGTGAATTTTATTTTATTTTATTCTGTTTACATCAGGGGAGTTTGCAGAGAGGGACTCAAACTAGTCAGGATGGCAACCATACCATGCAAATAATACCCTGAGTTGGTCCATCACATCTCTCAAGTAGCTAATGTAGAAGGAGATGGAATTTCATCTCTTCTTTGGTGCCTTTGTCTAATCCAAAGAAATCCAACTTGGTGGCCATCAGTGATAGATGATGATGATGATGATGATGATGATGATGATGATGATGATGATGATGATGATGATAGATAATAGATAGATAGATATAGATAGATGATAGATATAGATAGATGATAGACAGATAGATGATTGAGAGAGAGAGATAATAGAGATAAATATCCTATAGCAGTACTTTTATGGTTTAACTATGTGTTTGAACTACTTTTTATTTCAACTTAATATCCCACCGTTCAGCCTCATTTGCGAGGAAGTAGCCCCTACTACTGTGAAAAAGGTTTACAACTTCCCCACCTCCCTTTCCACATCATATATAATCACCTACATCACTGACACATCTCTCCTTAAGTTCCTTCTGGGTGGAGGGCTCCAAAAACATGTCTTTCTCCGCAGCTGCATTTTTGCATGGCAACAACCAGAACTGTGCAATTATTGGCAACTTCAGCTTGCTTCGAATCTGGGAAGGAGACCGAAGAGAGATGGGAGAGATCAAGTTCTACTAGCCAGAGACTGACCAATGCCAGTCCAAAACACAGAAGCTGGTATAACTATAACTCCTTTCTTATTTCTAAGATAAAGTAGGAAGGATCTTAGATAGCCCTATTTATGTTTCACCAATACACAAAACTGCACGCATACAAGGTAGACTTTATCAGAAGCGGGAAGCTTTATTGCACTAGTGGGGAGGTAAAACTTGAATAGGCTTGTTTACATTACCAGTAGTATACTTTACTTTTATAATGTTTGGCCAGCTGCTTCTAATTCAAGCTCCAGTTTATTGCCTTATGGCTTTACAATTGTTTTCCTGCTTCTTATCAGAGATAAGGTATGTTGACCAAAAGCAAAAAGTAGAAGCTATTTTCCTTTGCACTGCTTGCTGTCTTAATAATAAAAAAAGGTGTGGGGGGGGAGGGTGAATTACACGTGATGTGCTGTGTGCTGTGTCCTGCATTAAATCCTGTGAACCCACAGCGAGCCTGCGGCAACACCTCATCCAGTTTCACACTCAGAAACAATGGAGTCTGCAACCCTCTTCAGGTTCTTTGTCATCAGGTTACTTCCTACATAGCCCATAGATGGTGATCATCCCAGCCAGTCTAATTAAACAATGCTAGATGAGACTTGTACATGAAGGAGTCCAAAGGGAAGTCAGCTTCGATCACTAAAGGCACTTTTTAACAACGGAAGGAAAATGATTCTTCTGTGGCATCCAATCTCCTTCCACAAAAGCAAGCTGATTACCACATCTGTAAGGATTTAATTTACTTCGCAAAAGAAGATGCTCCCTGTTGGATTGAAATGTGATGATTGCTCATGTGTCTCTTTTCAACTGAACCGCAACATTTAAATAAATGTCAGAATTATCATTACTGGGACATCTGGCACTGAATTAATGTAGCATCTGGATAAGAGAAAGGGTGGTGCAAAGAACTTTTTGTTATACAAATGAGAAGGGACTTTATGCAGATAGCCTTACATAGGCCAACGCTATTGTCCTATGAGTGACATATGAGGATGTGCATTACTCCTATTTCCAGGGCAAGATTAGGCAGAAACAAGCATTTCAAATCAATCAGACAGAGCTTTCTTTTAGGGACATCTGAGTTTAAATTGAGAGGCTCCTCAGTTTGAGAGTGTTTTAGAGGTAAACTGGAATTTCTTCATTGGGTTCAACATTATAGCATCTTGACAATATTGATACCAAGAGTCCTCGTGCCTGAATTTTCTTGATCAGCTTAACCAGTTCTAGGTGGCTTTTTAGTGAGTTGCAGAGCCACCTCGTGGTACTGGAGGGGAAGCATCAAGTGATCAGACAGCTGGAATGATATTTTATTAAACCAGCTCATGAAACTCAATCAGTTGCAAATTTTCCAGACTTGCTCCTTACTTCCTGCAAGAGTGAAAGATACAGTTTTTGTACACATCAGGTGAGTCGTGTATACTTTTTATAACAGAAATGGAATCCTCTGATTTCCAATGTAAGTCAACTGGTTATGGGGTTTACATGTGAAGGGAAAGTCTGTGCATTCCCTGAAACACTTTTACAAAATAAATAGTGCTTTCATTTGTATACTTCAGCAAAAGAACCGGGACAGCTTCATAAAACAGTAGAAGTCAGCATTAGACTGATCTCAAAACTCATGCCAAGGCTTAACAAAGGGAAAAAGCCATCTGATAAGAGCCTCTTGATCTTCAAAACTGATAAATGATTGACTAGGTTTTGTTAAGCTAACTTGAATTTGTTGATACTTTGATACTTGGGTTAAGGCAGAAGTGAGGAGCTGTTGTTGTTTTAATCTGTTTATGGGCATCTGCCCTACAGATGATAACCCCCCTCCCCCCAATGGATATAGAACTTATTTTGGAAAGGAAAAGATGCCACACACTTTGCCATTAAATCGTGCACTTGATGGCCTAGATGTGCTAATAAACATAGAAATGGAACTAAAGCAGACCATCTTCTGCATCAGATTAGTCTGCAGTAGACAAAACTGAAGAAAATATTGTACTTTCTTAACATGAGTGCCTTTATAACAGAGCAGAACATCACTGATCTATTTCAGGTCCATCGCAGACAGGTACTTCATTACTCAAATGAGCCAGGTTTTAATCCATTTACTAAGAATTAAAATACCATCTGAGCTGTTCTTGCCTAGTTACCCCGTTATGCAAGGAGACCCATATAGCAAATCAGAAGCTTGTTGTTGTATCTAGTCCATAATTATTAATCAAGTGGTAACTGTTTTCAAGGTGAAGTCTTTTTAGTCCTACCTACAAAAGCCAGACATAGGATCTAGAGATTTATATCCTTAAAAAAAAAAAAAAGTATGCTGTCATGAGAGATGGGCCAGTAGGTGCTTTCACAAATGCACATCTGATGAAAACCAGACCATACAACTATCATGCTACATGGGTATGTAGAGTCAGGACACCCTCCCCACCCCAGTTCAAGCACTTCATGAACAATGGCTATTGTCACAGTGCATTGTATACTAAGTGACAACAAATCACTGAAAAAATAACTACTCTGTTCTTATGCAGGCATGAGGTGATACCATAAGTGCTGGAAATCAGAATGAGATTTTGTTTTAAACAAAGTATATTTTAATTTCACTCTTGACTCATATTTTCAGGATACTGTGTTACAGGCGCTCCCACGTTCGGCTTATGGTCACTCACTCACACACTCACAGCCTGTTGAGGCACGCAGATCTTATCAGCCCCCCTTGCTTTCTACCTGGGTTCTCCAGATAGGTGCGGCTGGAGCAGACAAGACACACAGCCCTGGGCAACAGCTGGGAAGTAATTAGGGACACACACAAATCATTTCCAACCGATCACTGAGGGACAACAGGTTCTTTGGAATACACGGAGACCCAGTGAATTTAACGTAACAGCAAACACACACACATCTCACACACGGACACACATTCATCTGCACTTACCCATGGCCTTCTCAGCTAGGCTACCAGGCACTAGCTAGAGCAGGGTTCCTCAACCTCGGCAACTTTAAGATGGGTGGACTTCAACTCCCAGAATTCCCAGCCAGCAATGGGAGAAATTCTGGGAAATTTCTGGGAAATCCCCAGAAATTCTGGGAGTTGAAGTTCACCCATCTTAAAGTTGCCGAGGTTGAGGAACCCTGAGCTAGAGGGATGGAAGCTGCCAAGTCTGGATCCAAAGATGACTCAAGGAGTGAGCAGGCTTCAGGAACCCCTTTTATCCCCAAAAGTCCTTGCATTTTTGATTCACAAGACTGGCAGCTACTCTTGCCTTGTTAATTCACAAGTCTGATAGCTACTGATGGGCTTGGAGGTGGGGTTCCATGCACTCAGGCCCAACTTCCTTTGTCTGGTTCAGGTGACGTTTTTTCCTTTGTTTCCCTAATGATTTGTTTCTGTGATGGAATGGACTTATGAAGGCCAGGCTCAGGGAGATAAGTGTGTTCTTAGCCCCCAACAGGAGTGTGGGAAGTTCAAGAAGTTGAAGCTGGCACCTCCCTAAGGAATTCACGGTGTTGTGGCTGGCTGGCTTGGGAACTAGGGTCCAGTCTGGGGAGATTTCAGTCTGGAGGTTGAAGCTAATAAACGCAACAGAACTGTATTTGCACTGTCTCTTGGAATTCTTTGGGCTGAACCTGACAGTTTCCTTCTTATCTACTTCCTCAAAAGGATCTTTTGGACAAGATTCCTGGATTTTCATCCTCTCTGCTTACACGGCTGCTTCATCTTTAGTTATGTTTGCTT